GTGGGCCTGTTGGGGGACACCCGGCGGGAATTTGAACGCGAAGCAGTTCTCCTAGTTTTTTCGAATATTTACCAATACAGGCGAACTTTTTTCGTTTTTCCCGTGATCATGGTGTATGACTCTCAAGTTAACATGGCGCACATAGAGTAATGCTGTTTCCGTGGACAGTGCTTTCAAACAGCTATGGTTTTTTACCTATGACTTTCAGAGAAAAACTGATGTTAGATCGAATAAACGATTCCTGTGAAAATCGAGTTCCTTTGCGTGGTTTTAAAAGATGAAGTTGCAACCATTAGCAGAGCTTTCAACAAGCCAATTTGGGAGTAACAACTGTTTTGGGCACCCCCCCCCAATATTGCATCTGTTGTGGGCCTTTCCTGATCCTTCCCCGATCTCTTTTTCCTTTCAGACGTAATAGTGCCGAAGATTCAATCCACGCTAGATGTATTGAAATGCTTACGAATGGATGAAATCACGGTAGAGAACGTTCATGAATTAAATGCAAAGATTCGCTCGATGTCCAATGTAGCCGATTACTTTCCAGGTAAAAGTCTTGCTTTTTGCCTTTCCCTCTCTCTTATTCTTGATTCAGGGTCAGTGGAATCTGTCTACGACTTCTTTCCAGGAGGTCTCATGTGCCAGGACGATGAAGGAAACGTCGTATACATGCAGGCGTTAGCGCTAACCCATCCGAAAACCCTGATTAAATCAGGAGCTGTAAGTGAACTGTACCGGCTAAGCATCATCGAGGCTGAGTTGGCATTCAAACTTGTCAGGTAGCACTTATGGCTTTGCTCCACCTTAGTCTACGTTCCATAGTGATCATTTAGAAAAGCGGAGGCTGCGACTGGAAAAAAGTTAGGAGCGAAGATTATCATTGATTTGGACAACTTTAGCATGGATGTTCTTTATCCGCCAGCTCTCAACATCTACCTCAACCTGCTCACATTACTTCAGGTAGGTAAACGAAAGTAACTGGGAAGGCATCACTAGGAGGGCTGCCAAAAGATTCTCTAGGTATTCTTTAAAAAATATGTGAAGTAAATTTCAGGCTCTGTTTCCTGACTTCGGCCGGACATATTTACGTCATCAACAGCCCTTTGATGATCAAAACCGTTTACGCAATGATACAGCCGGTGTTGTCAAAGCAAACGAAAGAGAAGGTGATGAGAGCCACTTCTCGCTTTTCTGCGTATAACGTACATTTCAAACGCGTACGAGCACCACACGGGATTGCAGTGGTACAGGACAGGGCCATCGATCTTTTTATAGCGCTTTGTGGCAACATCCGCCCACCTCGGTGCAAGCTCCACCCACCAATAGCATTTTAGCTCCCTTCCTTCACCAACCTTTATGCACTTTTTCCCGGTCTGTGGATCCTCCTGGTCCCAACTACGGTGTTTCGCAGCGAACGTCGCCCTATTCGTGCAAGCCACCCCCAACAGCATTCAGCAACTTTCCTCCATCTCTAACCTCGGTCCATTTATCCTGGTTTCCGGGACCTTCCGGCGCCGATAAGTAGATTTTGTAGCAAAACGCACCACATTGGTGCACGCCACGCACTATCTAACTATTCCGGCCGAGTCTCCCTTCTCTATCTCTTACCCCCCCCCGGCCCGCCCCCCCCGCTCCGTTCCCTGTCTTCTGGACTTCTTTGAAGCGCCTGTCCCAAGATTTGTGATAAAAAGCCAACCATTAGGCACATTCCGCCTAATGTGGGCGGGCTTTCGCCCAGCTCACGTGTACTAGGACACCTTTGATATGGAACTCTTTAACAGATTATTTTACGTCCAACAGGCTCTCCCCTAACAGAGTTATGAGTTTTTTTTATTGAGCGCCGCCTCTTTACAGAAGGCTCCGCCACTGCGGTCGGTCTCCTAAAAACGACGTAGTAATCTGTAGGGCGGAAGTGGTGTAGTGGCAAGTGGCACGCTTACCACGCGAGCGGTCCGGGGATCAAATCCTGGGTCGTGAGTCGCCCGGGCCAACCAAGCCTTCCATCCCTCCGGGGTCGGTTAATTGGTACCAGACTTGTCTGGGAGGATAAAAACACTGACTTGTACATCGGCTGGCCCCCGCAAGTCATTGTATAGGCCACATCGCATTCAAACGCCACTACGAATGTACAAATGGAAGTAGAATGCGTGCCGCATCCCAAAAAGGGATTGATCAACGGCAAATGCTTTATCCTTTATCCTTTATTTTTCATTTAGGTAACATTTCTGGGTAGTGACTGGAAAGAATTTCTCGTCAAAGAGGTCAGTTAAGATCCTACATTGGCTTTATAGTATGACACAATTGAAAGCCCATGTTTAGCTAGGAGAGCACAACATCTATCGCCATTGGGGTGGAAGCAAAGCATCTGATCTTCCTACGGGAGATGTTCGAATGGGTGGAAAAGTTCCCGAGAAATTGCAGTGAGTTCAAAAAGGGTACGCAGTGCGTTCCTCAGTTTTCCTATCACGAGCGAACACAATTTCATTTCAGGTATAAAGCGGAAGATAACGTCGACGACGATAGACAGGGATTTACTAAGGTTACCGTAGCAGCGCGGTCTAAAGCGGAGGTGAGGAATTTGCAAGGTTGGTGCATAATCGGCGCTGATGTTCTCTACGGTTGTTTTTGCCTCAGCTTAAAGGCAAGACCCGGGATAAAACTGGTGAAAAGAGCGCTTCGTAGTGATGACTGAGCTGCGGAACGACCTGAAAGTGGAAAGGAAAGCAAGAGAAATCTTTGGAGAACGCTGAAATTAAGGCCTTAACCTTCAAGTAAGGTCGGATGTGGTACGATGGCGAGACAGGGCGGTCAAAGAAGACAAAACACGCGATCACGCCGTTCGAGAGAGCACGCCGATATCGAGGTGGGTGGGAAGCGTTGCAACGGGGTCGATGGTTGCAGGATTAGCGCCCTAACCGCGCAATTTTCGGGACAAAGCTGACTGATCTATTATAGATAGGTACACCTACACCCAGGTAGCCTTACAGTTTTCCTCGCAATATCCTTTCCGGAGGTCGGGCTGATCCAGGGGTTTGCCTTCAAAAATTGCTAAGAATAGGCAGAATATAATAGGTACGGCACTGTTGACGAAATCAGCACTCCTAATATTCCCTCGACACCATTTTAAAAGCACAATC